TCTCAAATTCTTATAAGACGCCAACCCAACATTCGTGGTCAGCCCATTCTCCAACCTCAAACTGTCCTTTTGACCTTCTGCTTTCAGAAATAAATGGAGCAATTACTTGCTGCTGACAGAGAAACTGACGCGTTCCACCTGACGGTTTTACAGAAATCAGATTGGACATTCCCATTCTCTGTCAAATTATGAGCAACTCGATTCGAGTAACAAACTGACATATTATATGGGACACGACATCCTCAGGAGCCCGACTTATCTTGATGGAATAAAGTGATTATACAGTTATTTTATAGAACCCTAAAACCTTTCTCACACATTTGTGGAACATATACAGTAGCTGTTCATGCCTCCTCTAATGAAAGCATTAAAGAGTAATGAGCTTGTCAAATATCTGACAATCTGTCTGTTCACCTTCAGAGAGACCCCCAAACCTGCTCCTTTAGTCAAATAACTATCTCATTGGATACAGAAACTTGTGAAAATCTGCCCATTGGCCTTGAGACACTGGGAATCTGCCAATTCACCAAGGGACCTGACAATCGCACTGAGAATGTTTTGAGACATATTGAGAGAGAGATATCGCAAGGCATTTTCATATTTACAATTTTTGTTTCCAAAGTGTTGGTAAATGTACTAAATCTGTTGGATTTTATCATATGTTGCTTTTTTGGGGGGCATCCTAACCATTCTTTTTTAATATAGACCATTTTTGTAATGGATGCAGACAGTGGATTTATGATTTTTTTTTTTTTTTTAATTCCTGGAATTAAGTTGTCACTTTTTGAACACAGAAAGTTTGAATTAGTGCTCAGCTCATTTAACCTGAGAATCTGCTCATCTTCTGAGATCCCGAAAATCTGCCGATTCACGCTGAGACGCGGGAATTTTGCCCATTCTTTTTGCGATTTCCACCTGGAATCGCGCTGTCAGAGCAGTATGAAGACAGTAGCTGTGGGGGAGTGTTAATGCTTTATTGTAAATACAAACAGCAGGAGATATTGTGCTCACCAATCCAATTACCTGGAGTGTACAAACCTCTTTCACCCCAGCTCACCAGCACTCACAAGGGCTCTTATGAGTCTGGCAAACAAGCAATTTGTCTTAATACATGCAATATTTACGTGCATTAGCTATTGACTCCAATCGTTTTAAGATGTGTTAACAGAATGCATTAGCAGCGCTGAATGTCACATTCTGAATATCTCAGGGAATTCATAATAGCAGCCTCGAGACATGCCCTGTATACAGGGATATAAAATACATAGAGACACTCTAGATTAACGAACAGGACTCCATTGAACGCTGCAGTTTTCTTTAGATCCATAGAGTGCAACATAATTAAGATAATCAGTCTTAAAGTGACACTGTCAACCCCCCTTCCCCTGAAAAATGAGTATTTCATGAACATAGAATCACTATTTGCTAAAATTCCAATCCAGCCAAAAGATACACAGAGTCAAAGTAGGGACTATTTTGTCTCTGTATATTTCCTTCACCTGACTTTCTTAGACTGGGCGGACACTGGGCGGAGCTACAGTGTCAATCCCCACAGCTGTAACCAATGACGGCTGCAGGGAATTGTCTCTGTCTATGGAAGATCCCGCCCCCATAGAACTCAATGTTGTACTTCCTGAAGAGGACCTGCTGAAACAAGACGGCCACGCCCACGAGGGACCGGTTCATGTAAGGAAATGTCACCACTTGCCACCAGACCCCCAGCAGCGATGTCACTGTCGGGGTCTTTGAAAGTCCCTAGATGGTGACAATGCAGCATTAAGTTTGGCAAAGAATCGTGGGAGGTGTAGTACTACAACAGCTGGAGACTTACATTTTTGTCAATCACTGCGATAGACTACCACTGACAGTATTTGCCATATTGCTGAGCATTATGCGCTATTTACTAAGTTATCATTGCTGTAAAGAATAATTCTGATTCCTAACGGCCCTGTTATCTGTGCTTTATTAACCTATTAGACGCCAGAGATGTGCAAGTTGATACAATGAAATCTATGCTTCATTCTTACTCTACTTGAAAGGGGACTGTCATCATTATGTATACTTCTCCCTTGTATTCAACAAATTTGTGTTTGTGGACTCTGAAAAATACAATGAAATGTAGAAATCCACACATCTTCATCCTGCAAACGGGTCTTCACTTCCCGACTCCCGTCAAACGTTATTATAAGGTCTGCACATTGCACCTGCCAGTCAGCAAGGAGAACGCAATCAGACATGCGGAGAAATGAAACAATGTTTCTTTTACTGCTCCCACAATGCAATGTGTGCCTGACTGTGCCAGTACTGAACCGGATTATGATGGAATTAGCTACATCTCTAATACATATGTAAAATAAAATGGATCCTCACATTCAGTGTCAGCTAACAATCAACATAGGGAATATCTATGATATTATTTATATTTTTGGACCTGGTATCATTGAGGCTTACGAACCAATGACTAGATATTTTAAGATGAGGTTTTTTTCTAACAGGAAGAAGATAATAACAGGGCATACAAGGACGCATGGATGTGAGGTTTATTCACTAAACACCGAACTGTAGAGAACTGGAACCAGATTCATACTAAAATAGCCGGGCTGTGACTATAGCAGACTTGTAGAGTTTTTCCAAATCAGCACTTCGCTTTTCAATCCATCCTAAATTTTGCAATTCGCTTTTCAATCCATCACAGTTTCGTGTTTAGTGAAGAATCCCCACTTGTAAAAATTATAAATGCTCTTTTACACTGGAACAATTCATTCTGAGGCTGTAGTTCTCATTAATTAATAATACTAACTTATTCGTACTTTATTGAGCAATGCCAGCATTTTACCCCGTGAATCACGAACTTTCCATCTCGCACTCCTTGGGGTTTAAAGTACAGAGAGTGTGTTTGATAGAGAGGCCACGCAGCGTCTGATAATTAAATACTGAAAGCTGTCACAGACAGTCATTCTGATTCATTTCCTTATTATCAGCTGTGAAGAAACAGACGGCAAAGATTGGATTTTAATCACGCAGATTTAATATTTTATTTGGCTTGTTAGATGAAGTTTTCAGATAAGAGCCATGGTAAATATTTCACCGTCCCCCAGGATGATGAGGTACTGGCAAGCAGAACTTAGGCAGCAAAATGATAAAAAGTATTTTGTAAAAGTGGCAGCCCAGCGGGGCATCAAGGGTTCTTAAGGGGGGGCTGAATATGTTGTGGACTACAATTCCTAGTATCCTCAGTCATCTATATCATTATAAAAATAATTCAGGAGTTGTTCGCTATGTTTGATCACACTCTGTGAAAGGTAAGAAATTGGGGTCTCGATTCAATACAGTTGGATACGCTTTCCAAATGATTTAATATTTTTGGATACATTTTTTAAAATGATTCTTTCAACATAGTAGAATATCAAAAAATATATCATATATAAATAAAGACATCGATATTCTAAGAATTTCAAACTATTAGAAAATGGTAATATTTTTTAAAACACTAAATCATATTAAAAATGTATCCAACAATATTAAATCGAGGCCTACATATCTAACTAAGCTTCAAGGAACAAATGTACACCAATGTCCGTCACTTAAAAGTGATGTTGGCAGTAAAGTGGTGCTAGGAGCATCTTTTATTTAAAAGTGCACATATTTGGAGTAGTAGGCAGGTAGCATTTTTTATTTAATTTGTCTGTACATTAGGGCTGAATACTTTGGTCCATGCAGGATGAAGGATAGGAGATTGAGCCGAAGGCAAACACGTTTTCTCCCAGTTTAAACAAATCCTGCATTTCATTGCGTCATTAGGAGATGTAGTTTCTCTGCCTCTTATTATAACATGACATCGGAGCCGGGTTACCCAATAGGCAACATAGTCAACCTACCATCCTACATGTACAGCTCTCACTCACACAAGTACACACATCTTTGTCTTCCCGCCAGCTGATTATTTGGACACAACTATAGGTTTACCTTGACGTGACAGGTGAGGTGAGCTGACACTCAAGTGGCCATTGGAGTGATACTAAAAACCTCCAATGATTTAAATGTTTGTAGGGATTTCAGATAGTGCATAAGTAACTCTTTTCTTCATTTTTTTACTGTATGTACTGGGGCTGCAGCATACTATAGTTATTGCAGCCGGCCAGGAGTGGTGGGAGTTTGAGCACAGGACTTATTTTTGATTAGAAGACTAAACAGTACACAGGTAGCATCAAAGAACACAGGTAAAACAGGTGTGGAAGGAATGTTTTTATGGGAAAAGCCAAGAACTAAAACAACCGAGGTAAATAAATGATGTTTAATATAAGTTATACGTTAATATTATTAATAACGATAATGCTCCAACATATTCCACAGCGCTGTACAGTAGAAGAACAAATACACATTTAAATGTATGTATTGTTACACTATCTCTTTAAATACCGGTGTTCTTCTGAAAGATTAGATTAATATTCTGTGAATATATTATAAAGACTCCGTCCTGGCATACAATTAGCATCTTATCATCTCAGATAGTGCCATTATCAGCTGCCCTCTGTATTCCTCCGCTATTAGAAAACATTTCCTTCTAATCTAATATTGCTCTGTCCTGGGACTCTTAATGACAACAATGTTCCCAAACTAATTAATGTACTCTCCTGGCATGCCCTACAACCTAATAAGCATACGTTGACTTCGATGATTCCAGAAAATCTCTTAATACCCCCTAAACTGCATTATCCCTATCCCTTATACCGTTACCTGTCAATTACGGCTTGCACTGTGTAATTATTTCTCTTTATTTTACTGTCTCTACCATGATTGCCAGAGTAATTTACTGTGTGGAACTCATTCATTTTCGAGTCCTGTCAAATCAACACAATATTTCATTTTAATAAATTGGTGGAAAGATCTCATGACTGTTTAGTGAATAAACCTCTAAGGGTAATATAAGGGGAAAGAGCTCAGTCCTATCACATAGTGAATCCAAGTGATCATTCTTCATACTCTATAGCTGCAAAAGCCAACAGGTTCATCTCAAGCTATACATTAGCTACACTGGTCATGGAATCCCATGATACAGTTTAGATTCCCATGACATGATTTAGATGCAATGTATCATTATTTAATGTAACTAAACCCCCATTATTTTTTGCCTAGATTAGGTGTTTTTAATAAAACTAGCAAAATCGAGCACTGACTTCCCATTCTCTGTATGTCGGGCACTGACTTCCCGTTCTCTGTACGTCTGGTACTGACTTCCCGTTCTCTGTATGTCGGGCGCTGACTTCCCGTTCTCTGTACGTCTGGTACTGACTTCCCATTCTCTGTATGTCGGGTGCTGACTTCCCATTCTCTGTATGTCGGGTACTGACTTCCCATTCTCTGTATGTCGGGTACTGACTTCCTGTTCTCTGTATGTCGGGTACTGACTTCCCATTCTCTGTATGTCGGGCACTGACTTCCCGTTCTCTGTACGTCGGGTACTGACTTCCCGTTCTCTGTATGTCGGGCGCTGACTTCCCGTTCTCTGTACGTCTGGTACTGACTTCCCATTCTCTGTATGTCGGGTACTGACTTCCCATTCTCTGTATGTCGGGTACTGACTTCCCATTCTCTGTATGTCAGGTACTGACTTCCTGTTCTCTGTATGTCGGGTACTGACTTCCCATTCTCTGTATGTCGGGTATTGACTTCCCGTTCTCTGTATGTCGGGTGCTGACTTCCCATTCTCTGTACGTCTGGTACTGACTTCCCGTTCTCTGTATGTCGGACACTGACTTCCCATTCTCTGTATGTCGGGTACTGACTTCCCGTTCTCTGTACGTCGGGTGCTGACTTCCCATTCTCTGTATGTCGGGTACTGACTTCCCGTTCTCTGTATGTCGGGTACTGACTTCCCGTTCTCTGTACGTCTGGTACTGACTTCCCGTTCTCTGTATGTCGGGCACTGACTTCCCATTCTCTGTATGTCGGGCACTGACTTCCCGTTCACTGTATGTCGGGTGCTGACTTCCCATTCTCTGTACGTCTGGTACTGACTTCCCGTTCTCTGTATGTCGGACACTGACTTCCCATTCTCTGTATGTCGGGTACTGACTTCCCGTTCTCTGTACGTCGGGTGCTGACTTCCCATTCTCTGTATGTCGGGTACTGACTTCCCGTTCTCTGTATGTCGGGTACTGACTTCCCGTTCTCTGTACGTCTGGTACTGACTTCCCGTTCTCTGTATGTCGGGCACTGACTTCCCATTCTCTGTATGTCGGGTGCTGACTTCCCGTTCTCTGTATGTCGGGTACTGACTTCCCGTTCTCTGTACGTCGGGTGCTGACTTCCCATTCTCTGTATGTCGGGCACTGACTTCCCGTTCTCTGTATGTCGGGTGCTGACTTCCCGTTCTCTGTATGTCGGGTACTGACTTCCCGTTCTCTGTATGTCTGGTACTGACTTCCCATTCTCTGTACGTCTGGTACTGACTTCCCATTCTCTGTATGTCGGGCACTGACTTCCCGTTCTCTGTATGTCTGGTACTGACTTCCCATTCTCTGTATGTCTCGGCTGTGTCATATTTTGTCCTTTTATTCTCTTCCAACTCAAATTAAGCCTTCTGTTTAAAGTATTTTCTATAGACGGAAGACTTGCTTCTTTCCTTTCTCTCTCTCTCTCATATTATTCTCACTTCCTCTGCACTGGTCATATCCCCAGACCATTCCATTTGTATCACAGGTTCCCTTCATTTTGGGCAAATTCTGTTCTTTTCTATACCTGAACCTCACATTTTTTGCATCGCTTCGAGCCTCACACTCTCCCTTGTTCTTCCCTTTACATTGTTCAGGCTCCTAGTCTGTTCCTTTTTCCATTTGCTTGTCTTGTGTCATAATTCAACCTGCAGGCTCTTTTGCTACTTTGAGGAACACCTAAACCCCCAGTCTCTGTCCATCCTCCCCCACTTTCCACAGAGCATTAAAAACACCCTGAAATAATCATCCTGCCTGTTTTATACTGTGCACCTTGACAAAGACAAAAATATCTCTTTTTCCAATACTAAGTATGACAAGATGCTGGAGTCGTGTGGCTTCCTGCTTGGATGTGTAATGACTGTAACTCCCCATGGTTAGAATGTAAACGGCGGGGTGTTGTCAAAGCATGTGATTGTCTACATTGTAAAGCAGGCTAACAGGATATAAATGGGTAACAAAAAATAAAAAGGACAAACATCAACCAAGTTTAGCCTTTAGAAATCCCCCTGCAAGCTTCTACTGATCTCTAAGGCATCCAGAAAATCCTACCAAAGCGCTTTCCAAGGTGGAAAAAATGTCTCCTTCGACAAAAGTGTTTCTGCTTTGGGAATGGAAACATTGTTAATAAATATTTATACATTTAAAATGTATTCTCATAACCAGTGCCATTCCTCACTGGATTAACATTTTACTTAAAGGACCACTCTAGGCACCCAGACCACTTCAGCTTAATGAAGTGGTCTGGGTGCCAGGTCCCTCTAGGATTAACCCTTTTTAAAATAAACATAGCAGTTTCAGAGAAACTGCTATGCTTATAAATGGGTTAATCCAGCCTCTAAAGCCTCTAGTGGCTGTCTCATTGACAAATAATTGAAAATCACAGTGAGAAGGCGCCAGCGTCCATAGGAAAGCATTGTAAATGCTTTCCTATGAGACAGGCTGAATGCGCGCGCAGCTCTTGCCGCGCATGCGCATTCAGCCGAAGAGGAGGATCGGAGGCAGAGAGGAGGAGGAGAGCTCCCTGCCCGGCGCTGGAAAAAAGGTAAGTTTAACCCCTTCCTCTCCATCCAGCCCAGCGGATGGGGGACCCTGAGGGTGGGGGCACCCTCAGGGCACTATAGTGCCAGGAAAATGAGTATTTTTTCCTGGCACTATAGTGGTCCTTTAATGTTAAAGTGAATTTGTGTAAACCTGGACACACTGCTTGCAATACAGATATCCTGAGGAGGACTGCTGATTTTGGGTTATCTCCCACAAGTCAGCCAGTGAATTCCCTATCTTCACAGCTCTCACTGTTATGAACCCTTCCCTACCTCTAAATGTGAAGCTTCATCTCATGAACTGTGTTCTTAAAAACCATGAAATACATTTGTATTTAGGTATGATAGCTACCACATTTATTTAGCTATGTTACTGTGACATTTACAAACATAAATATATAGAAATGGCACAGCCTAATTATTCACTAATATGTGAATTGTGGGGAATTCAGTGTGAATTAAAAAAATAATAATTTAAGGTCAAAACAGTAAAACATTGTATAGCTTCCAATTTTACTATTTGACGTGAAATTTTAAGTTTAGTTTGAATTCACTCTGAATTACAAAATAACACTGTTTGGTCTGAGTGACTTTAATATGATATGATGTATCTACATTTTAATATTAAGGAGTACTTTAAAGTCCTCTTTGATAAAGGGTTCCCATAAAACAGACGTAAGGTTCCTATTATGGAATTCCAATCTTTACAATGCTTTACCCCAGTTCTGGCACAATTATATTACTCTTGTAAAGCACAGAATTCCAGTATTGCTAAAATGCATAACGTGAAATGTATTAATGATTTATCTAGTGTACTGTTTATCAATCCCAACATCCGAGTCCCATTTCTTCCAATTCTAGCTTTGATTAGTAATTTCTTTTTATCAGATGCAATTTTTAATGCTAACAGCACATGTTCTTAGTAAACTCCTGAAAGAGGGTAAATGCCAATCTCTGTTTTCATGCATATTGATAGTGATATTCCACGCTGCTGCTGCTGTTTTGTGCATTCATACCGACTCCTGCCTTATCAGGCCCAGCACTTGTCACTTTACAATTTACACATGTCACCCAGGAATCCTCCCTATTAGGGCAAAATAGAATTCTGTTAATTAAAGCAATGGAAATCAATTAACCTCAGCAGCAAACATGACCCTTCTGAAATGAAGGCACAACTTGATGCAAAGTCGTGTTCCATTCGAAAGATGAGGGAATTGGGCTGATTAACATTATATCTGTATATAGGGAATTCTGGGGAAGATTAAATACAGATATTTGCTGGGCGTTCTCTCTCCCCTGTAATATATCATACATTAGACATGTGTACAGTGACAACATTTGGCTGGGCTGAACCTTTTTTCCAGAAAACAGAAAAAAAAATGTTGTCTCGGCAGAATTTTGGAACAGAGATTCCAATTCAGGAACCGAATGAGAAGAACAAAAAAAGTGCAAAGATGGGCCAATCAGTGTGCTGGATAATATATACATTATATAATGTATATATTTTGCAGTATACTGATTGGTGCACTTGCCCGCCATTAAAGATGTCGCAAACTGCTCGCCGAACTGTTCGCGAACTGTCCGCCGGCGAACAATAGCGTGTTCGCGTTGGGCGAACATATACGATTTCCGGTCCGCCCCCTATTCGTCATCATTGAGTAAATTTTGACCCGGAACCTCACAGTCAGCAGACACATTCCAGCCAATCAGCAGCAGACCCTCCCTCCCAGGAAGTGTCTGCTGACTGTGAGGTTCCGGGTCAAAGTTTACTCAATGATGACGAATAGGGGGCGGACCGGAAATTGTATATGTTTGCCCAACGCGAACACGCTATTCTTCGCCGGCGGACAGTTCGCGAACAGTTCGGCGAGCAGTTCGCAACATCTCTACCCGCCATGTGGTTCGCAGATCAAGTGAGAAAAAGTGACCAATAGAGGGTTCCACATTTTCACCCCTTTTGCTCACTTAATATGTGAATTCAAGTTTTAGTGACTGTCTCCTAACCATTAATCCACCTTTTTTACATCAATTACCTCTTTTTATGGCGCCATGGGCCCATTCAAAATCACAAGACTGGAGCAAAAACCCGATTGGCCAAAATGTGTCCCAAAATTAATCTGCAAGTTTATAACATATATTGTATTATTAAAGGTAAAGGCTTGATTTTAGAATCTGACCCTGCAGCCCTGCAAATAAAGATAGTGCTGTATCTGAAGGTCACTATGGTCTCCGTGCTAAACAAGATCAGTAATTGAGTCTGTTTGACATCCGGGGTCGGCATGTAAAGTCTTCTCTTAGAAAAACACAGAATTGGCGGATTATGGAGATTGCCATAATTGCGCCATTTGCCCTCAGTTCATGAGAACCATCTGATTGGACAAATGTCATCATGATTGATGGCTTCATCCGCAGCAAGGAGTCTGTCTCGTCATTGCAATAAAAGTAAGTTGAATAGCAATTTTATAAATGTGAAAATATAGATACATTCACATCAGTTCACAAAGAGAGACAGTGCTGGGGTAATCATTCAAAACACATGGTAATAGATGAATATGACGTGGTCTTTCCTCTGCTGTCTGTAAATTCTTACATCATAGGGATTTAAATGGTTTCACTGTCACGGGTTTTCAGAGGGTTAGTGAAATTCTTGAGCACTGCGTAATGACAGTTTCATCAACCATATCCCTCCTGCATTTATTTCTGTAAAGAAACATTTTCCTTTGAGTCTTTATATCCCCAGAGGAAGGTTTATCTCTCTAATCTTCATGTCTCTAGTAAAACTGCACTTTTCATGTCTTTTGTCTCTAGAGAAACACTTACCTCTCTCTGTGTGCTTCTAACGCAAATCGCAACTCTCTTGTCTATTTCTCTCTAGAGCAAAACCCCTCCTTAGTTCCATATGCTATCTCGATTCTGACATCTCTACAGCAAGAATGAGTTCTTCCGAATCACTCTAGAAGCATTCTAGAACCTCTAACCTTACATTACCTCCACAGATAAAATCTTCACTCTTATTTTACTTGCTTACATTTCCCCAGCCTAAGATTTCATAACAGGGGTCTGGTTCTCTTAAAGGCTCCTGCAACCCGGAGCAAAGATAGATATGTATATGTATAACGACGGACAGACCTGCCATCCAAAGAGGAACAATCATTTGTAAAAGAAAAGGTTAATTCAACAGATCCTGATTTACTCACACTAGATGTATTTTTTTTCTGAAAATCTAAATATTCCATCTTTGTTGACCAATTTAGGGTGAAATCGTCACAGTATCACATTTTCATAGTCTATTTAATTGTATTTCAGCTTTTTGCCAGCAATTTTATTCAACAAACTCCTAATGGAATATCCAAATTAAACTCCAAAGATCCGGTAGGGTCGAAACATTGCAGTATTTGCCCCAATAAAGCTGCTATTTCTGTTATGCCGGGGTGTCTGAACCGTTATTTATTCTGCATATCTTGGAAGGGAGGCCTGGCCAGCCCTGGATTCAGAGCACCTGGGTTATTTGGTTAGTGCACTATCCAGTACGTCTCTACCTTCAGTGAGGGTGACACAAGCAGGGCCTTAAGGCAGCATACCTGGCTGTCAGTAAATGCCGGCTGGCCCATGAAAAGGATGCCGGCCCATTGCATCCACTGTATAGGACCCAGTGGACTTGCCATTCTGCACCATTGTCATTGCATACATTGGATAGCCCTCTAACAAGCTCTGACTCTGTCACTGATAGTATCGAGGATGACCTGTGGCAATGATCTCACATTATCAGAGAACTCACAACAAGAATATACAAGATCTGCACCCAGTGAAGGTGCATACCAGAAGAGCTTAGCACGGGACCACCAGGGATCTCATGCTGTACAGGAAGAGATCATTGGGGGAGTGATGCGGGGGTGACACAATGTGACACCAACCTTACACAGCTGAGTTTGGTTTTCAATTCACTACAATTTACTTTTTCATGAATAAATCGTAGCGTGACTACTTGCTTGTTTTTAAATACTTTGCACATTCTTACTGACATTTCTTACATTGAATGTAGTGTGCCGATTAGCAGATTTTAATTTGGAGAGTACTTTTACACTGTTTTCTACACTAAATTAATTAATGATGGATGGCTTGGATTGCTATTAATCCTAGCTGCAGAAACAAGCATCTGCTCCTGTAAAACGCTGGCCCTTACGGTGAAAGAGAACTGGATTCAAGCCACTTGTATGTCTCCATACAGATTATTCCACCAGCCAAAATGTACATACAGCCATATTAAAGATTGTATAAAATGCTGGTAACAGATCAGCTTCCAATAGCTTCTCTCTACATTTTCTATAGAACATTTTAGATATTTTATAACTCAGAGTTATACACAAAAGTGACAAGTTGCAGGAATTCAAAGTAAATTTCAAAATTTACGGAAAGCAAAGGTGACTTTGAGAATGATTCCATCTGTTATTTTGACTTGAAATGTTAAATTGATTTTCCTGATAACTTACATTTTAGTGAACAACCACATAAATATCATTAATTTCAAAGTAAGCTTAAACCGATCTTCCAGCTAGAACCCGACAGATCAAACTTGTTTTTTGCTCTAAGAGTTCCAAGCGCCCGTATACAATGAACATTTTGATAAATAAGTGGATTCAATGATGTGATATATTTATTAAATCCACATGTGTCAGAACTATTTTCTGGACGATGAGACTGTTATGTGATCGTTTCCCTATACAGTGAGCGGTGTGTATATCATACGGACACAAAGCCACATCTGCAGACAGGCATCAATGCCTCCTCGGTTAGATTAAACAAGCTCTATCAAGGTCTTTAAGGTTGTTTTTTTGTTTTATGGGTGTAATGCTACTTAATGACCCATGTGTTTTGATATATAACCCCCAGTCACTCCGCGTCCAGCATGAAATAAAGGGTCTAACGTGTGCGCCAAGGGCACCCAGTGCTCAGACAAAAACTCTAAAAGCAAATACACGTTCTATACACGATACAGTTACTACACGCGGACAGACTATAAATAAATGCAAACACTATAATAATGCTTAGCTTCGTGATATCAGAGCACTGAACCGGAACCAAATATAGAAATGTGTGTTAAAGGATCAGATCATTGTAAAGGGGATCTTAACATACAGAGTCTAGATGCACCATCTGCCTGTCTTTATCGAGCTTTTAAAAGTGATCTAGATGGTAAGAAAAAAGAAAGACAAAAAACAAAACATATACTCTCGCATCAATCAGTCAGAGCAAGTTAACAAGAATACGATGCAATCTTCCCTCTGCTGTCTGTGAAATCTTACATTATTTACAGATTTCATAATATTCTGGGATCCAATCGACTTCCTTCAGCCATTAACCCCCGGCAGTGTAACTGTTAACCCATTGAATTGTATTTCATATCTCATTGTTTGAAGAGAGATAAACAGCCAAATAACTACCTATTCTTGAATTTTGTATGAGTAGTACGGCTGCGATGAATTGAGGTAAGTTGGTTCAGAGATTGTTTATTTCTATCTATTGTTTTATAACAGAGGGACAGTTTAATTGATTCCATGGGTCATCATATCCGATATACCCGGACTATAAAAGGCCCACCCCTGCCAGGACCATCAATGTGGAACAAAGGGGATGATGTAAAATAAATCAAATGAATCCTTCCGGATTGGGAGAAATTAGAGTCACAGGGAAACACTAAGTAATAGTGAACGGTCCCAAATATTTCTTATAAGGACCACTCATATGTATATTGGACCACAGGTCAGGTACAGTGCATGTAGAGAGAGGACATTAGGAAAAACAGGGCCATAAAATCAAAGCTGATCAGACCCCATTAACGGCAGTAAACACTCACATAAATATAACCACTCACATCACTAAATATAACCACTCACATCTCTAAATATAACCACTCACATCACTAAATATAACTACTCACATCACTAAATAATATAACTACTCACATCACTAAATAATATATCTACTCACATCTCTAAATATAACCACTCACATCACTAAATATATCTACTCACATCACTAAATAATATAACTACTCACATCACTAAATATAACTACTCACATCACTAAATATAACTACTCACATCACTAAATAATATATCTACTCACATCACTAAATATACCTACTCACATCACTAAATAATATAACTACTCACATCACTAAATAATATAACTACTCACATCACTAAATATAACTACTCACATCACTAAATAATATAACTACTCACATCACTAAATATAACTACTCACATCACTAAATAATGTAACTACTCACATCACTAAATAATGTAACTACTCACATCACTAAATAATATAACTACTCACATCACTAAATAATGTAACTACTCACATCACTAAATATAACTACTCACATCACTAAATAATGTAACTACTCACATCACTAAATGTAACTACTCACATCACTAAATAATGTAACTACTCACATCACTAAATAATGTAACTACTCACATCACTAAATATAACTACTCACATCACTAAATAACGTACCTACTCACATCACTAAATAATGTAACTATTCATATTACTAAATATATCCACTCACATCACTAAATAATATAAGTATTAACATCACTAAATAATGTAACTACTCACATCACCAAATAAAGAGAACATTTTAAGAAAATCTAAAAGCCAGGTATAAATATATTTCACTGTCCAACGCTGCATGAAGATGTTGTCTGAGAATGAAATGCTAGAAATGACATGCTGATTTGAGTGTTTTTCTTCAAACAGAGATAATTATTACTCAATGCAGAGAAAATGTCAGTAATGCATTTTGCCAGACTTTGTTTGGTTTCCAGACCATTTTAATGTCTTAGACTTAACCCTTTAACTTATGAGCGTAGCCATTGTTAATTGAGAATACAAGGTGCAGCTGGTGACTCTGGTCATGAAGAGGTTACTCTCTAGGACTGCTGGCTGACATTTCACAGAAGGCATACAGGAGCTGGTGAAGGTCACCGATGAGACACAGAACCATCTAATAGTTTCTTCATTGCATAGTTGCATGAATATTTAGCAAACATCGGATCAAAAACAATACGGCCATAATTGTTCCCATTTTTCTTGAAATATACATTAACAGACTATGAACATCCTCAGCTCTCCTAAACGCCATGAATATTCAAGAGATTTCTCTGGAAGTAATGATTTTGAGTTTCTGCTCAAGTAATAGGCATTCCGATGGTACCTTAGTTGTTTTTGGTACTTACTAATCTGAGTACCTGAAATGTATGGACACTATGTGACTGAGGAAGTCACAAATCAGCCAATGTTTTACAATTTCATACTTAGAAATAGTTGATGCTGGAAAGAATAAGAAAGGGCTAGACACAATAATGTGGAATTTGTTGGCCAACTACAAGAAATTTATATTCCCATTTATTTACATAGAAACATAGAAACATAGAATGTGACGGCAGATAAGAACCATTCGGCCCATCTAGTCTGCCCAATTTTCTAAAAACTTTCATTAGTCCCTAGCCTTATCTTATGGTTAGGATAGCCTTATGCCTATCCCACGCATGCTTAAACTCCTTTACTGTGTTAACCTCTACCACTTCAGCTGGAAGGCTATTCCATGCATCCACTACCCTCTCAGTAAAGTAATACTTCCTGATATTATTTTTAAACCTTTGTCCCTCTAATTTAAGACTATGTCCTCTTGTTGTGGTAGTTTTTCTTCTTTTAAATATAGTCTCCTCCTTTACTGTGTTGATTCCCTTTATATATTTAAATGTTTCTATCATATCCCCCCTGTCTCGTCTTTCCTCCAAGCTATACATGTTAAGATCCTTTAACCTTTCCTGGTAAGTTTTATCCCGCAATCCATGAACCAGTTTAGTAGCCCTTCTCTGAACCCTCTCTAAGGTATCAATATCCTTCTGAAGATACGGTCTCCAATACTGTGTACAATACTCCAAGTGAGGTCTCACCAGTGTTCTGTACAATGGCATGAGCACTTCCCTCTTTCTACTGCTAATACCTCTCCCTATACAACCAAGCATTCTGCTAGCATTTC